ACACGACGGTTTCCTCAGGCTTTGGCGGTGTCCAATGRGCGGAMGGGGCTCATAACCGAAGAGAAGGTAACCCGTCTAGAGTAAGGAACTCGATGAAAACCTATGAAGAAAAGCACTATGAAATGTCGGAAAGTAAAGAGAATTTACCCCWGGAGGGTACTGCAGTTCGCCGGGAATCTCTCCCTACTSAGGTAGGCTGCCCCACGGATTCTGCGGGGGGCAACATTCCGAGAAAAAGTGCTCAAACTCARARMGTAGATCGTCAGCTTCAATAATTGACCTGAAATGGGATGAGTCAAAGGGAAGTAGTACAAATAAACGGGACAAACACAATTCCAATCCCAAACCCCGTTAAGAAAAAGGAAACTGCTAGATACCTCGATCCACAAAGGAGAAGGCCAGATTTATAAAAAAAGAGAGAGCCCGGAATATTTCACTCTCGTGGAAACACGGGAGATTATAACAAAACTAGCGAATGACCTGGAAGGAAATGTGGAGCAAAACACCAAGAGGGAAGTAAAGGAAATAGCAAGAAGGCTTAAAAGACAAATTAATGTTATAAATCAAGCATACATTACACAGTGGCTCAATCAATTTAAGTACGAGAAAATAGACAAAATGACTATAGACATGGACACACAGACCAGTCCTAAGAAAAATGAAGTGTCGGGCAACATACCAGCTCACACGAGAGAAACAAGTACAAACCGGAAAATGAAAATCACGCAGGCAGAGGAACCATTGAATAGAGAAAGTCTGGTCGATGAAACCTCCGTTACGGAAACGGGCCAAATATGTCCAACGTGTAAAAGGAAATATGGCGAGAGTAAGGACACACAAACCCAAACCGAACAACCAATATACTTCGAGGAGAACAGGTGCAATTCACTAAACGACATAGATTCCTACGCGAGATGGCTAAAGATCGCGCCCAAAAATTGGGCTGATGAGCTCTTCGAGAACACAGAAATAATTTCTGGAAATCCTCTATCGACAAAAGCTTCTACGGTCAAAGTAGTACTTGTTGAACCCGCGGATAAACAGATGGAGAAGAGTATACAGCTGCTATACAAAAACAGGTATTCGGAACTAGTAGAGACAGAAGAGTCCTTTGCTGTCCTTGAACACAGCTCAAGATGGAAGCTCAAGCAAGACACGACAGAATGCCAGAAAGTGATAAAAATCATGCAAGGAGAACAAAAGTCCGACTTGTGGGATAGATTTACTCAATTCAGGGAGGAAAGCAGAGGAGACGTGTGGGTAGCAATTCATTACATCGAAATATTCAGCTCCGAGAGGCTCAGAAAAATGGCAGAGGCTATTTTTGACAAAGGGCCAACCAAAGTTGCAATTTACACAAACAGGAAATCTCGTACAACACAAGAAAGAAACAGTGAACGACCCCCAGCGCTAATAATTGGCAAGATGGGAAAACATACGGAGACGTCGTCAACACAATTAAAACCAAATTAAAGGGAAATGCGGCAGTGCAAATTATCAAATCAATCAGGAAAACTAAAAATGACAACGTAAACAATGGAAAATAATCAAATAGAGATTGAAAAAATTAAAAAAGCAATTGAAGACCCCTTAGGAAATATGAAAATCAGAAATACGGGAAATCCCTGGAGACAATACACATGAGGGGTTTAGACGTCACAGATAGTGGGACTCCTAAAAGAAGACGCCTTCAAAATGGGAGCCTGGTAAAGGAAAAAGCTGAGACACTCCTCAAAGAGTTTTTCATCAGAGTGGGCTTGTCCAGGTGCAGAATGGAAAAAGGTTAAAAGTACCTCGATGCGCTAAATGCTGGGCCTACGACCACTAGGAGGAGGTCTGCAATGGTCCTGATAGGAGAGGCATGTGTTTCAAGTGCGGCAGAAATGGCCACCTCGCCAGTTCATGTAGTGAGTAAATTATGTATTGCCCCTTATGTCAACAAAATCATAAAATTGGTCCGGTGAACTGTATGGCATTCCGGAGAGCGCTGTCACAAATTAGAAAAGAGGCTCAAGAACAAACGCACAGGCTGCTGCAAAGGCATCGGCGGGCTCCCCCTCAGACCAATAATAAAACTCAAACTATACCTCGACACGCTCAGACTCATCTGTCTGGCTTGCTTGTTTTCTTTTTGGACTTGCATTGGGTTCTGTGCCTTTTTGGCAGCTCAACATTTTAATTTAACTTTTTGCTTATACCCGTTTTGTCAATCTGTCCAGTATACACATAAATGTTTAAACTACTACAAATAAACTTAAATAGATGCAAGCTTGCAACCGATCTCATGACTAAGAAGGTATTTGACGAAAACATTGACTTCACTTTAGGGCAAGAACCGAACAAAAATAGCAGAGTGGACTTTTCTGAGTTAAATAAGGACAGTTTTATAAATTTAAATAATAAACACCTAATTATTAGTAGCGGAAGTCGGCTGGGCTTCGTATATGTTGAGTTGGATACTATTGCGGTTGTGTCATGCTACTTTTTCCCTAACGGGCGAATAGAGGACTTTAATAATTTGTTGTTTAGCATGGAAATATTCTTAAGGCATTTAAAGAAAAATGTAATCATCGCAGGTGGCCTAAATGGTAAAACAAACTTTATAGAGTCGACAAATACAAACCAAAGAGGGAAACCTTTTGAAGACTGGATCATGGCCAATAACTTAAGTGTCATAAATCAAGGATCAACAATACCGAGTCCACAGAAAAACTACAAACCGACATAGATGACATAAAGCGCCGGACTAAAAAATGGCGAATCAAATTGAATCTGCGAATCTGTCCACATTGAGTTCACCAATAAGAAAGTTGAATACAAACCAGTTAAGATCAACAATCAAATTGTTCCATACGAAAATACAGCTAAATATCTTGGCAAGACGCTGGATGCTAAACTTAGGTGGAAGGCCCATGTCAAGAAAAAACAAGAAGAATTAAATTTAAAATACCGTAAAATGTACTGGCTAACTGGTCGTAATTCTGCCCTGTCAGTGTATAATAAGCTCTTGCTGTATCACCACGTCCTCAAGCCGGTGTGGAGTTATGATAGTCAACTCTGGGGTTGTACCAGCCAAAGCAACAGAAATATTATACAACGTTATCAAAATAAAGTTCTACGCGGCATCGTAGGTGCGCCATGGCACATCGTTGAGGGCATCCAGCTCTTGAACAACGATGGCTTAACAAGAAGATTAAATCGAGTGAAACCCTATGAACTAGTGCATGGAATTAATCGTTGATTCTTAACAAAATAGAAGAAATATGCTTATATATGTACACATTAAAATAGTGACCCTCCAATGGCAAAGCCGAAGTTAATATCATAGGATAACACTTTGCAAATGTACATCTAGTAGTTTAGGTTAAAGAAAAGTAGCTTATTGGTGTAAACAAGATTGCTATAACACACTAATAAAAAAAATCAAGGAGATATAATAATAACTCCAACTTTTAATAACGCAAATGGTTGCTCCATTATCGACTTTACTCTAGCTTCAACAAACATTTGCCAAAAGATCGCAAATTGGAAGGTCGATAATGAATCCGAAAACCTTAGCGACCACAACTATATAAATTTTGAATTCAATACTTTAAAAATATGTAAACATAGTACAAAAAATCAAAAAGGCTGGCACATAAACACCTTAAAGCTGGATAAGGTTGCTACGGACTTCAAGGACAAAATTGGCAATGCTACTGGTGTCTCTCCTAAAGAACTAACAAGCATAATATCCCAAACATTAGATGCACACTTCAGAAAAAGAAATCCAAATCCGAAAGGAAATTCGCCTGCATACTGGTGAAATAGAGAAATTGCAGTACGAAGAAACACCTGTATCAGATCAAGAAGGAGAGTTACTAGGACAAGAAGAAAAAATATACCAAATGAACATTTCGGCCAAATTTTAAAGGAGCATAAAAACAATAAAAATGACCTCAGGAAAATGATCCTAAAAAGTGAGAAAGACGGATGGAAAAGTTTATGCGAAGAATTGGAAAACGATATTTGGGGTAAGGCGTACAAAATCATCAAAAAAAGCCTAAATACGAGATCAAGACATACGCCAGATCAACCGGTAGTCAGGGACGAAATAAAAAAATTATTCCAAATGAAAGCAATATTTCACTGGACAGAATCAACTCCAGAAACAAACAATACGATTAGCCCTTTTAACTTGGAAGAGTTAAAAAATGCTATCGGAGGAAGGAAACGAAATAAAGCATCGGGACCTAATTACATTACCCTGGAAATTCTTAAAGCATGTATTGACGCGTGCCCACAAATATTCCTAAACACATTTAACAACTGTTTGGAAAATGGAAACTTTCCAGAAACATGGAAGCTCAGAACAGCTCAGTTGGGACTTATAGAGAAGCCTAAAAAAGCGCAAGATGGACAGAAGGCGTATAGACCTCTGTGTCTAATAGATGACATGGGAAAACTTCTCGAAT